GCTCTCTGAGTTCAAGGCCAGCCTGGGCTATAGAGGGAGTTCCAGGAAGCTAGAGCTACAAAGATGAACCTTGTCTCAAAACAAACACTATAAAAGATACCTTGTAAAGATTGTTAGTTTTAAAATTAAGTCATAAATTTATAATATTATTCATTCATCTAAAATCAGAATGATACAGGATAGTTTTTATAACTGTAGTTAATTTATGAGGGATTTGGAAAGACATTTGCTTTTGTTTAGTTTAGACAAGATTTTTTTTTTTTTTTTAGTATAGTTTTATAGTTTTGGAACTTGTCCTGAAACATGTCCTGTAGACCAGGCTGGCCTCATACTCAGAGACTGCCTTCCTCTGTTTTCCAGGTACTAGTATTAAACGCATGCACCAACACCAACTGGCTTAAAAAGACCTTTTATAAAAGTTTAATTATAAGCAAGAGTAAACATTTAAGTGGCTTTCTTAATATTTCTTAAACATCAGAACGTTGTTTTTGGTGTGTATCAGGTAAATCTTTAATCTATACCTCAGCTTACAATATTTTATTTCCCAACCCATACAAAAAATAAGTCCTCACAGGCAGCATTATTTTTCTACTCTCTTCCCAGCGCGGCCTCGGTGTTGTTACAGACGGGTGACTCACTCTCTTAGAAACACTCTCGCTGTGTTTCCAATTTTTAGGTTAATCTCGACTGCTAAGGCACACCTGGCTCCTCCATGTGGGTCTCTTGGCTGACTCTGCCAGCTTCTAGGTTCCTGAGAGCCAAAGCCTAAAGCTTGAGGCCTGGATGGAGGTGTGTTTGACCTGGAACCGTTTTCCACCCCCAGCTATGGAATGCCAGTACCCTGAACTGTGGCAGGCTAGTTCTTTGTTTCTATTAGGTGTGAAAAGTGCAGTTTAAATGCTCTGCTGTACAGAGGGGTTTCTTAAAGGAGCCATTTTTTTTTCAGCTTTCTCAGGCTCTAGATGAATATTCAAGCCTCATTTTGATAGACCAAAATTTAGTTGTTTGTTTTACTCTTGTGGCTTTTTGCTCTTTACTCTTTGGGGAACCCATCACCCAGCTCCCAAATAAATCACACAAAGTATCTTATTCTTTCTTTTAAATGCCTGGCCTTATTTCTAGTTAGCTTTTCTTAACTTAAGTTATCCCCATCTACATTTTGGCTCTGGGCTTTTTTCTTTTCTTCTGTATATCTTACTTTCACTCTTATTCCATGGCTGGCTGGCTGTATAGCTGGGTTTAGTGGCTGGGTGGCTGGGTGGCTGGGTGGCTGGGTGGCTGGGTGGCTGGGAAGCTGGGTGACCAGATGGCTGGGTGGTTGGCTCCTCCTTTTTTTGCCCCTTTATTTCTCTCCTATTCCCTCTTCTCCCGGATTTCTACTCCCAATATTCTCTGTGCCTGCCAGCCTTGCCTGTCCTTTCTCTTGCCTCACTATTGGCCATTCATCTCTTTATTAGACCATCAGGTGTGTTTTAGACAGGCAAAGTATCACAGCTTCAGAGAGTTAAACAAATATAACCTAAAAAGAATGCAACAAACCTTTGCATCATTAAACAAATGTTCCACAGTATAAGCAATTATAACACATCTTAAAATAATATTCTACCCCACTCAGTTTCTTTCATGGATCTTCTTGAATTTCTGTGAAATGATGTTATGTCAGTCCCTTGGACCTGGATTTCTTGCTTGATTCTTTTATCTAGAATTCTTCACACCAGCCCCATGTTCATTTTGCCTAGTCCCATCTTTCCAGTCATTCCTCGAAGAACTTGCATATTATTTTTGGAAACACCTACTTTTATACTTTAGTTTTCAGTGTGGTCTGAGCTTCTCCTTAGCAGAACTTAAATGGTGCTAATTGGATGTTGGTGAAATTACTGGCACCAGACATTAATGTTTATAAATCATCTGTCAAGTATATTTTACTAGGACATCCCCAAAATGCACTGCGTGAATTTAAATTCACTTTCCATTTTTAGTATAATTTAATTATATATACTTATAATGATTAAGGCAAACCATTTCACTGTGTTTTCTTCAGGATAAAATTATTGTGTGTTATCAAATAACCTAGAAATGCCCCTCCAGGACTTGAGAAGACATTCTCAAAGATACTGCAAATAGAGTGATGGGATATTGTATTTAAACTTGGTAGAAAGAAGGAGTCTTAAAATTGGGTTCTGGCACATTAATTTCTATGAACTCCTTTGACATTCAACATCAGCGTTAACCCCTGGATTTGAACATAGAGGAATACACAATAGACCCACAGCTTGCATTATTTTTACCATTGTTCATTCCCTGAAGTATTTGCCATTTCACACAGCTGATTCTTGAGAGAAAGGACAGCCTTGTTTTGGTCCTGATTTTAGTGGAACTACTTTGAGTTTCTCTCCATTTAATTTGATGTTGGCAATTGACTTGCTCTATATTGTTTTTATTATGTCTAGATATGTCTCTTGTTTCCTGATCTTTTCAAAATGTTCATCATGAAGGGGTTCTGGATTTTATAAAGGCTTTTTTTTTTAGCATCTAAGCAGAGAATCAACTATGTTTATAGCTGCTTTATCTGTAATATTCATAACCTGGAAACAACCTAGATATCCCTTAACAGGGAATAGATAAAAAAAAATGTGGTACATTTACACAATGGAGTATTACTCATTGTTAAAAACAAAGGACAGCGGAAATTTGAAGGCAATTGGATGGTAGTAGAAATAATCCTATTGAGCGTGGTAACGCAGATAGAAAGACAAACATATATATATATACATATATACATATATATATATATATATATTCATAAGTGGATATTGGCTGTAAAATAAAAGATAACCATGCTACAATACATAGCCCCAGAGAGGCTAGATAACAAGGAGGATTTGTGAGGGGAGCCCCAGATCTCCCTGGGAAGGGGAATAGAACAGATTTCATGAGCTGACTGAGGTCCAATGTGGAAGGGAACATTAATGATCAGGTTGAGGTGGTAGAGGGGGAGAGTGCTGAAACAGACTACTTGAAATGGAGAGCATATCAGGGCCAGTTCAAAACCTGGTGCCAGGGGGCTGGAGAGATGGCTCAGAGGTTAAGAGCACCGATTGCTCTTCCAGAGGTCCTGAGTTCAATTCCCAGCAACCACATGGTGGCTCAGAACCATCCCTTATGAGATCTGGTGCCCTCTTCTGGTGTGCAGATATACATGGAAGCAGAATGTTGCATACATAATAAATAAATAAATCTTAAAAAAAAAAAAAACCTGGTGCAAGAGAATCTCCCAGGAACCTACTAGGAAGACCCCAGTTTAGACTCCTGGCAATCGCACATATTTAGCCTGAAATGGCCATCATCTCCTGTGATCAGATTGGTGCCTAGCCCAATTGTCATCATCCAGCAACTGAGGGCAACAGATACCAATATTAGGTGGAGTCTGGACAATTCTACAGAATAGGAGGAGAAAATATTGTAGGAGCCAGAGGAGTAAAGGACACCACAAGAAACCCCACAGAATCATCTAATCTGGGCTCATAGGGGCTCACAGAGAACAAACTGACAACCAGAGAGCCTGCATGGGATTGACCTAGGCACTCTAGATATATGTTAGTTTTGTAGCTTGTTCCTCTTGTTGGACAACTAACAGTGGGGTGGGACTATCTCCTACTCGACTCTTTTCCACATACTGGGTCTCTTTGTCCAGTCTTAATACATGGGTAGTTGCTGAATCTTTTTTTTTTTCCTAAGATAGGATATCTCTGTGGCTTTGGAAGCTGTCCTGGAAGTAGCTCTTGTAGACCAGGCCTCTGCCTCCCAAGTGCTGGGATTAAAGGCGTGGGCCACCCACGCCCAGCTTGAGTTGCTTAGTCTTAAGGCAAGTTGATATGCCATGATTTGTTGATACTTATTAGAGACCTGTTCTTTTCTAAACAGAAATGGAGGAGTGGATTGGGGGGTAGTAACAGAGTGGTGATGGAGGGGAGAAGAAGGGGAAACTGTGGCAGGGATGTAAAATAAATAAACAAATGAGTAAATTTGTTTAAAAAGTAAAACGTAGAAAACACTTTATATTATTTCTTTGTGATAGAGAGGTAGATTCAATGAAGTTTTTATAATCTTAGAATAAGATTATATGCATGAAGGAAATTATGTAAACACATAGATAAATATATATTTAAAATGACATTTTAAATTTCATAATTCTTTGATTTCTACTGTACAACAAAGAATGCTGATATTGGGTTGTATTATTTTGTTGATTGACAGCAGTAGACGGAACCAGGGTCATCTTGTGAAAACTGTTAAACAACTTCCTTATGGTGAAATGCCAAGCTTATTCTAAGCTCTTTTCCCTTTTCAAAGCATTGAATGAAGGCTTCAACACGTTTTACAGTGGCTCTCTGATTTTGGGAGTCTATACAGGAAGGGAGTTAGGAAGTTCTTGTATACCATTAGTGTAGTGATTGTCCATGTCCTGCATGAAATACCATGATTGTTTATGGAAGGTGTCTTTAATAAAGCTGGGTACAGTTTGAAAATAAAAGCATGTTAGCTGGAATGTTTTTTAAAATAAAGATTAATTATAATTAAAATAACATTATGTTTTGTTTTACTTGACATGTAAAAAGGATGGCAGCATGACTGGGCCAATTGAAACTCAGTACATTTAGCAACATTTATTTATAGCTAGCTTTCACTGGCAAAATTAAATATGCACTTATGAAGAAATATTGGCATCACACTATATTAAATACACACTCATTACATTGAAGCATTTTATCTTATCAGGCCATACTGCCTAGGATATAACAAAACTCTTTATCTTGAAGAGGAATGAAAGCAATGAGATCATGTCTGTGGTGTATAAACATCATAACATCACCATAAACATCACATAAACATCACCATAAACAACAACCATAGACATCACAACTAAACAAGCCTATCAGGCATATTAAGGATAAAAAAGAACTGGGAGACAATTTTGAGAGAACAGCAAAGGGACTTACCATCTTGATCTGTGGTCACTGTAATAGCTGTGAATGGCTTGGGAGAAATGCTCAGCTCAGAAACTCCATTCATGGCTTCTATTTCAAAGGTGTAATTGACATGAGACACGAAGTCAAGTACTATCACAGAATTGTTGATCAGTCCAGTGTGTCTTGGGATGAAGCGGAGTCCTCCTCCACAGTCCTCACATTGACTGGTGTCTAAGCCACACTTCTTACAGATTACACTGTACGTGAGATCTTTTCTCCCTCCTGTGTCACTAGGTGGGCTCCATTCCAAAATGAGGGCTGTTTCATTGATATTAAAAGCCACATTTCTAGGAGCTGAAGGTGGCCCTAGAGAAAAGCAATGAGAAAACAATATGTTCATGGGTAGAACAATGAATGATGGTGATATTACACTGAAATTTTCATGCTGCTGATCTTTACTATTAATTGTGGATCATTTCCTTACAGGAGCTATAAAGAATTTGTTTAAATATCTGATGAAAGGAGAAAGTCTCTAAGGGTAACTATAGTATATTTCTTAACTTTTGAGTATTTAAATTGCAACATTTAATGTCAAAGTCCATGTATTCCCAAAGAACACTTTTAAAGTTTGTTTGCTGTAAATATGTAATAGATGGGACTTATAAATTTATGAGATGGTCATCCTTATGTCCTCACTAATTTTATTATCATTTTCACAATTTGAAACCAACTGGGGTATGTATACTCAGCACACAGTCCAGTCTTCCAGCCCTCACACTGTCATTACTGTATAGATAAATGACCCTTTCATTTCATTTGCCAAACACCTAGAATCTCTTTTCTAACAATTGGTAATAAATGGTCATAAATTTAGGGTAGGAAGACTATTTAGAAACAGAAATGATAATCAGGGGCAGCATAAAACTCTTTCATAGGGACTTCCCAAATTGAAGTCATATATGCATTATGACAGCAGTTAAAATCATTTAGATGATGTTCAGTAAACATAATTAACCTAGACCTTCATTGTGAAATGTCCCTAAGGAAGATTCAGCCAACCCTCTCTTCATTGTCATTAAAGACACATTATTTCTGTTTTTCTATACATATAACAATACATATAGTACTCAACAGATTTTCATCACCAGTCATGTTGTAAAGTTATACCAATTATCTTTCATACTCATGCTAGTTTTCCACATCTCAGTTATTCTCCATTCATTGAACAAATATTACCCAAGGGTCTCGTCAGTGCCAGACTCTGTGTTGAGGGCCATTTTAATGCCATGGAATCCAAATACTGTGAGAATATGTTTATGAGAAAAAATTTAAAAATAACTCATTATACAAGTACAGGAACAACCAATATTCTGCCACAACTTAGAATTTGGTTTTAAGATATCTAGAATAGTTCCATAAATTTCTTTTATCAATAGAAACTGCTCAGTAGGTGGGGATTCTGCAACATCCTCTTAGGACAGAAACTCAAATTGTGTTGTAGGCAATCTTTTGAATATCAGGCTATGATCATTTGTTCATTAAGTTAACACTTTATTTAGTGACTACACTATGACAGACACTCTATGGGATGTGGTAGACATTACTCCTGCTTCATTGCTGTTAACATTTAGTGGAAGAAGAAAAAACACAGATTAATGAGATTAATGGATTCAAATGATAAGAATTTGAATGTTAACAGTCAGGGACTAAAGTAAAATCTATCAGAAGGAATTAACTCTTCATAACATCATGAGAAAGCTTTGGAAGTGATAAGAAAAGTTATCAGAGTAATGGGAAGAATATTAGGGGTCAAAAATATGTAGTTGCAATCAAGAAAAATCTTAAAAGTCATGGAGCAGACAGGGAAGCACCTGGATTAGAAAGCAGATAGAGAATCCTTGAAGTAAGTTGTAAAGACAAGGAAGGGGCACCATAGTTAACTCAGGATAGTTACTACCTAGACCAGCTAGAAAATTTCCTGTGTTCAACACAAGGATGTTTGTGTGTGTGCGTGCGTGCGTGCGTGCGTGCGTGTGTGTGAAGTCATTCGTATGACACAGAGCTCACATGGAGGTCAGAGGACAACATTGAGCCAGTTTTTACCATCTACTTTTTTGATACATGGTGTCTTTGGTTGTTTTTCCAGTGGGTATAATTCACAAGTGTTTGGGTATTCTCCATGTCTGTTTTCTTTCTCCTTGGGTGAGCTAGAGTCATAAAAAGCTTGCTCTATGCATTACATTTTTATGTGGGTTCTAGAGATTTGAACTCAGGCCCCCACCAAAAAGGGCTTTTTCTATATACTGAGTCATTTTCCCAGCCTTACTTGAAGGTTTTAAAGTACAGAAGTGATATGATTTAAAAGCATATCAATGTAAAGCATGGTGCATGGTCTGAGAACAGGGAGCATGGCAATAAGTTCTCCTATATAGTGCTGATGAGCAGAATATTAGCCATAAATCTAGGTGAGATACTGAGAAGTGTTGTCCAGCTCTTCTTTCCTCTTGTGCTGTTCTAATGTCAGTCACATATAGTCAAGAACCTCCTCCAATCCATATTTCTATCACCTAACGCTAGACCTAGAAAGTCGATGGGAATTTTTATTAAAGGTTGCCAAATTTCTTGCTTTATGTCATTCCATATTTCAGTGGGCTTACAGATATGTGTGCCTTTAGACAGGAAAATATGGAGGAACACAGGACCAAATGTGCATTTTACCTTGTTCCTAAATTTATGCAGGGGGGATAAAAATTCATTTTCCTAATAATGCCTCACTGTGACACATTGATATTGCTGATTTTTCACTTATTTATAATTAATAACATGATTTATTATTCACATATACCTCTACAACTAGGAAACATTATCAATTATGTTATGGGTATTCACAAGTATATAACTATCTGCTTGGACATATGTTAAAAATTTAAAGAATAGAGACACCCTTCTTACTCAAGGGCCCTCATACCAATTTGCATGATGATTAAATAGCTTTTTAATTGCTGTTAAATTATGCCAGCTAAACTGTGATTTCATGCAAATATTAAGCTGTAATGACACGTACTGAATCATTTACTAAGATTTAGAACTTGGAACCAAGAGAGACAATTAATTCCAATCCTCAGATTCAACTAAATGATGTGTCACTGGGCTTTTCTGAATGTGGCCTGATTGCTTTGTTATCATTTATAAATTATACAAAGGTTATATGACACCCAGAAAACATAACATGGCAGCAATGATGCATTTAGAGACATTTGTATTGAAAACTCTTAGGGATTCCCTTATGTTGTTGTTGTTGTTTTTGTTTTTTTTTTCCTTTGGGAAAACAAATAACTCACATCGGATAGAAGACAGCTCTTATCCTTGTCTTCCAGCCTGACTTTATAATGAGAGCACAATTGCTCTGACCTTTAGTGGCAGTTGTAAAGCCCAGGACGTAAAAAGCTTTACAGTAAAACTGACTGAATTGTTGCTACACTGTCTACTAGTAATGTTATGTTCAAATAGGGTCTCTGCTCACAGACAGTGTTTGCTTCAATTTGGATTTTCCCTTCACACTTTGAAAGAATAAAAGCCCAATGCTCAAGTGAAATGCCCAAGACCCAGGACAACGGTTTCTTCTTTTCCTATTCCTCAGAAAGCAGCTGGTTCCACAGATGCTACTACCTCTCAGCCCGCATTGGCTGGGTATGTTATAGCTATTGTAAGTTTTATTTTTTAAACAAGAATCAGTTTAAAGTGTTATTGTGTCTTTCAAAATCTCTCTGTGCAATATACTAAATCCCACATGATATAAAATAAAACCAAATTCAGTGTTCAAATAAGAGTCTTCTGGCCCGTTGCCACCGGAACAAAAGTAATACAATTTGTTTTGCTGTGTTGACTCCAGCATTTCCTCCAAATTGGTTCACTGCATCGCATTATCTAGGAAATGTGTGAAGTAATACTAAAATTCTCCAGAATAATCTAAATAATGGCTCTCAACCTTAGTAATACTGTGACCTTTTAATATAGTTCCTCATGTTGTGGTGACCACACCCATAAAATTATTTTCCTTGCTACTTTATAACTGTAATTTTGCTACTGTCATGAATCATAAAGTCAATGTCTGTCTTTTCACAATGACACCTATGAAACAGTCATTTGACCCCCAAAGAGGTCACATTCTACAGGTTGAGAACCGCTGGTCTAAATAAAGGCTGACTTAGAAGTAGAACAAATTTAAGGATTATATTTCAGCTTTTGTGTGATGTGGTGAAGACTTACAATTGTTTAATGATAATATGTTACTTCTTGTTATTTCTTTTTTTTTAAACAATTTTCCTTTTACCTTACAGTTACAGAGACAAAATTAACATAATAGTCTGGGAGTGTGGCTCATCAGTCAATCCCTTTTCCAGCATGCACAAGGCCCTGGCTTTGATCCTCAGCATCCCAAACACCAATGACTCTATTGCTCATGGCAGTGTGAAGTTAGGAGAGAAAGCACAGCAGAGCTGTCTGGCTCTTACACAGCTTCTTCCCTTACCACCTGCTCCAGACCCCTGGCCTTCTCCCCACCTGCTTATGCTAGGTGTTTCTTGTGTGTGAAATTTGGCCTTGCTCAAAGCTTAGTGTTCCTCATGTCACTTGGGTATCAGCCCCAATATCTCTTTCTTAGATAAACCCTTTTTGAACTCTTCAGTTGAAATAAATCCAGTGTGTGCACACACAAAACAATTTTTTAGTATTACAATTTTTTAGCCCCTGTTTCAATTACTTTAATTCTATTTCCTTCACTGAATTTATACCCACTGACTCTCTCATTCATTTCTGAATATACAATACACAGAGTAGTACCCTATACTATTTTAAAGAATTTTTCTAAAAAGTCTTTTGGGGAATAAAATTTACAAGCTTAAAAAATGACTCACTGTCAGTGGATAGTGCAGTAAGGATTCTGACAACTGTAGACACTTATGCACCCATTGTCACAATCATGATATAGATGTGGACAGTCACATATGTTATTCTTAAAAAGAATTTTTAAACAAAATGTCAACCTAAAATGATCAGACATACAGCTAATAATGGATTTCATTTTTATTTTTAGTTACTAATAAGAAAGAAAATTATATCAAAATGTTATAGTTTGAATGTGAAATCTACAGTCGTGTGATAAACACTCTGGTGCCAACCTCTGGTGCTGCTGTTGAAGGCTGTGAGGACTTCATTACTCAGAACTTAGATGGAAGAATTAGGTCATCGTGGGTGTGTCCTTTAAGGGGATATTGAAAGTTAGGTCCCTTTGTTGCTTTCTCTGGGTCCATGCTGGCATGAGGTGAGCACTTTGTTCCAACACACCCTCCCCACCTTGATGATTT